GTTCAAGTTCTGTTCAAGTTCTTTTCTAGTTCAGTTCTAGTTCAGTTTTAGTTCTAGTTCAGTACGAGTTAAATGCTACTCCAGTTTGTAGAAATCTGAGATCAAATATAAATTTTGAAAGAAGTATATGGAGGGTTTTGGTATAACATTCGTTTCGTTTTTTGGCAATGCAAAATTGTGAAAATAAAGTAATATTTTAAAAATCGTTTTAATAAATAATATTAAATCACAAATTTAAATTTTTTTAAATTGCTTTTTGCATAATTTTACTTTTACTTTCATTTCCACTTTGACGTCATTTCCTACGCAAAATGATAAAAAAACACATGATCAGCAATGAGTCTGTGACACATGCCTTAATTTGCAAATCAATAAAAATATTTTCACATTTGTTGTTTTTTTGTTAAAAAAAAAAATTCTCTCAATATTTATCATAATTTAAATCTAGAATCAAGGATTTTGTTTAAATAAATTACAACAAAATATTAAAATGATTTCGGGGTTATTTAATTTATGATTTGTTGATAATAAAAACTTTCTTTCATAATAGTAAACAACAACTCTTTTACATCAAAATTGACAGCTAAAAACTGTCATTATGGATTTGCTTTAATACAATTTTATCACTGGGATTTTTTGTATATTTTTATATTATGTGTATTTCATTTTCTTTTTTTCTTTTATATTATAAAAATATAATTTTTCTTTAACATTGAGATTTATTAGCAAACAGACCAACGTCAACGCCATATTAAAAATATCATTTATGACAAAAATTTTCTTTTGACTTTTGCTTTTGTGCTGAATTCTTTTCAAAAGCTAAAAATACATTTTCGTAGAGATGATTTTGTACATGTACAAGATCTTTTAATGATTTTATAATAATTTATGAAGCAACAAAAAAATAAATAAATAAATAAATAAATAGCAACATTATTTAAGTACGTAAATATAACAACAAATATTTATATATTTTTTTTTTGGCAACAACAAGCGTCAGACAAATATTTTTCCCAATTTTGTTTAGATTTTTTTTTTGCATTTTTTGAGAGAGATAGAGAGTAATAATGAGAAAAATTAGTATAAAAACATAGAGAGTGATCTTTTAATTTATGTTTGAATGAAAATTTATTATTGAGAATTAATGTTTACGAATTTAGAGGGGAAAGATGCCACTTAATGCAATAGACTTGTCAACGATCGACACTTTTTAGAATGTATATCTACCAATAGAAGTCTATCGATTCCATATCAATCGATTGAACATCCTTAAACAAATATGTATGTAAAGGAAAAGTAATAATTTTGATATCAAACAATTTAGAATCGGTTGTAGATCAGTAAAAGTGGAATATTATCCGCCATGACGACCTTATTAGACAATGATACCTTTAAAAGCACAGGATGGGCTGTTAGACGAACACGAAGTGCCATAGTCACTCCTCTGTGGGGTATCGGCAACAGCACCGAACTTTTCCCCAATTATAGACTTTACCGTGTATCAGTCTTTTAACCAACATTCTCCTTCCCCGAATTTGGGTCTAAAGCCCAAAATTTTAGTTGCGCGCCGAGGCGTCCTCTCCAATAACTAGGACAAGACAAAGTCCAGAACTATGCCCTGCGGGATACCGGTTCCCTTGGTACCATATAAGATAGGTTCTCTGTTTCGACCTTAGATCAAATCATTCTAAGGAATGGCCCTTGGTACTATCAGACACTCTTTTATCCTAAATTGCAATTACATCAAGATGGCGAAAGTTTATTAAGGGGGGGTAGTGTAAAGGACAAGATTGTAGAAGTGGTTTACGTGAGTACTTGGCGTAAAGACCTATCCCACGCTGGTACTTTTTGAACCACTGGGTGATTACAATACGTCGACCAGCGCCCCATTGGTCAACTTGTTACAACGCCTTGACAGAAAGAGCAAGAGTTACAAATTCGAAGACATTCTTCTGGACATGTCTTCACCCATTGTCAGGATCGGATACTATCTAATCTCCTAAATGCCTTTTTTATGGGTCAGTTACTCAGTTGCAATGCAACTCCCCACCGAGCTTACGCTCTACCCGAGATTTGGGTTTAAACCACAACCACCACGAAGGGCCTCACCAGGAACCAGGCTGGAACTAATGTTCCAGGGGCTCCTGGATCCCGTGGTACCAGATTATCGACTTCGGTCGGTCTTCGTAGACAGAACTACTCCAGTTGGGTCCCAGAAGACGCGGGACTGGTAACACCATACAACATATTCATACAGCAACTAACATACACTTCGTCAGTCAACATCCAGGTGTAAGGGACAATAATATACATTTGTACATATGATAATATATGTTTGTCCTCAAAAAACTATAGGGAAAACTGGAAAAATAGGCTGAAAATTTTAAATATATAAGCGATTTAATGCAACGCCAACGGAAAAAGTCTTAAGGGCTTAAATCGTTGGTCTGTCTTGTTAGTAGGTCTTGACGATCACAAATTACCATCAAAATAGAATGTAAAGTATATTCCAGAGAGAAAGGAGAAGAGAATTGATTCTAGGTTAGATTGAAAGGAGGTCAAATCGAATCGGTCAAATGTTCACTAAGATTACGTCCCCTACCTCGGACTTATTAATTTTGAAGATACTAACTCGTTCTCGTGACCGAATGGGATTCTCTCGCCCATGTTTTTGATTCAGTCGAACTGTTTTTCATTGATCTGGTTAACTTTCTTAAGCTCCCTTCTCTTTTTAGCAATTACATTCGCACTTTCATTGTCGATAATTCCCTAATGGTTCGAATACAGACACAGACTTTGTCAGTTAAATATAAATTTGTTCAAGGCTGTTCAAGGAAAACCCGAGAAGAACAAAGACAAGAAGGACCTGTTTCTAAATTTCCCTTCGCTTTTTAGCAAGTACATTGGCCCATTCATTGCCGAATATCCCCAAGTAATCTAAATGTTATGGTTACCTTACAGTCCAATCGGTTCTAGTTTTAACAATTAATATGAACGGGTCTATTCTATTCCCTATTTTAAATATAAACAAGTTAGAGTGCTATATTCGGCTGAGCCGAATCTTAAATATCCTCCACCAGCTACTTTTATATTAATACTTTTCTAATTGATCAAATATTTGTAGAAATAAGTTTTCTCATATCTTAAATAAAAAAATCCCTAGATTCAAACAGCTCTAATCTATTACAATTCCAAGATTTATTGAACATTACCAACGCTCGGCGATCTTTATTAATTTGCATGTATGCATGTGTGTGAAAGATTTAAGGATTTTCAAAATACATATATATATAATTTTGTTCTACACAAATTGATAATGCAACTAGTTAAATACGGTTTTAGGAGCAGGACCTAGTATGGGAGATATGACCAATATAGACCGATCGTTAAAAAATTCTTTAAGCAAAACTTCTGGACATGAAAGCTATATTTCAGTAAAATTCTGTATCTATATCGTAATTTAGTAATAAGTAATGTGTGTTATGAACCGATCGTGCAAAAATCTTGAAATAGAATTTTTGTATCAATAGCTTTATTTGGTAATGAGTAATGTGCATTTAAGAGATTTTCGAAAGAGGACCTTGTATGGGAGCTACGACCAATTGTGTATATAAAAACAAAATTTCAAAATTCTGTATCTATATCATTATTTGGTAATGAATATTGTACAATTAAGTAATTTTCTGGAGGGGGCCTAGTATGAGAGCTATGACCAAGTATGGACCAATCGTAAAACAATTTTATAGTGTAATTTATGTATATAAGAGCAATATTTGTGCTAAATGTATGGATATCAATATTTTGTAATGAGTTATGTGCGTTTATGTGATTTTCGGGAAGGAACCTTGCATGGGAGCTATGACCAAGAATGGACCGATAGGAAAAAAATTTTACAGTAATACTTCTGTATGTGAGGGCAATACTTGTACCAAATTTTATATAGACAACTTGATTTAGAAATGAATTATTTGCGTTTAAGTTATTTTCGGGAGGGGACCTTGTATGGGAGCTATGTCCAATTATGGATCGATCCAGAAAATTTTTTCTCTGAATGAAATTGATATAAGATTTTAATTTGTAAAATTTTGTAAAGATTTCGACATTGTGACGGAAGTTATTAACAAAAATCCCATTTTCCGGGAATATGTACTTTTGTATGGGAGGTATATGAAATTGTGGACCGATTCTGGCAATTTTCAGCAGGAATCAAGATCTTGTGTAGAAACGAATGTATGCCGATTTTCATGGAATTATCTTTCATAATTTTCGAGAAAATTACATCAGAATGTGTAAAAAATGCTTATTTTTTTCGAGGTTGTTTCAAATTTTGATTCATAACTTTTCATGGTGTAAACCGATTTTGCTCATTTTCAATACCAAACTGCCTAGGACAATAACAAATATTTTGGGTGAATTTCGTTAATTTTTATTGCTTCGTGTTAACGTGAGAATGTTTTATACAGACAGACAGACAGACGGACGGACGGACAGACGGACAGACGGACATAGCTAAATCGACTCAGAATTTCATAAGGTCCAAGAATATATATACTTTGTTGGGTCTCAGATGAATATTTCTTGGTGTTACACACGGAATGACAAAGTTATATATACCCTCTATCACCACTGATGGTGGTGGAGGGTATAAAAAACTTTTTTACAAAACTATTTTACGCAAATTTTTATCAGATAAAGAGTTCAATATATTTTTAACCTTATTTTCTACATACCACTAAAAGTAAGGCAACTCTGCTTACTTGTTCATATCTCTTTGATCACTCTTACTCTCTCTATCCCTCTTTTAATGTGTCTGCCAAATAGTAGAGACCTTTTCAACTATAATTTTCTTTTAATAATGATTTTCTTAATTTGTTTTTAATGTTTTTTTGTGTATTTTGTTGTTTTTTTTTCATTTCTCTTTGCGTTTTTCTTTTACAATATTTCCTTTACTAAATTTCTTTCTGCACAATCTATTTTCATGAGGTCAAGTTGAAGGAAATAAATTTTGAAAAATTATTATTTAACAACAAAAACAACAAACGATAAAATGTGTTTTATTATTATTATTTAAAAGTGTGTTACGAAAATTGTTGTTAGTTTTAAAATTAAATTAAATTCTGCAAAAACAAACAGTTATTTGGTCTGGCCCTCTCTAGAAGCGCCACCAGCCCTAGATAGTAGTATTTTACTAACAGTTGCCAATTTCTATTCCAACAAAGAACGTTTGTTGACACACTCTCGTTGTCTGTCTGTCTATAGTATTTTTTCTTCGTTTTGTTTTGATTTTTAACGTTTACGCGTTTTTAGTTTAAAATACGAAAAAAACAAAAATTAAACAGAATAAAAAGTAACAACAAAAAACATGCTAAAAACATTGTGTTTTTTGTATTTATTGTTTGCAAACAAACAATAAAATATTAAACAAAAATAAAAAAAATTGAAAAAAAACTGAAACAAAAAAATTATGCAAAAAAAATGACGCATCTAAAACAGTTGAAATTGAAATGTTTAGTTGGATTTATAAGACCGTAAAAATCAATTGTGTTTTGTACCAATTATAGTGACAACATTTATTTATAAAAAAAAATAATTTAAATATAGTAAATAATTATTATCCAAAGAGCTGTTATAAACATACACATTACATTATTATGCAAATTTTGTATGTAAAATCTCAACGTTTGTTATGGAATAATTAAATATTGTCGGTTTGGTTCGTTTATTTATTACTCTTGCCAAAATTTTTCCTTCTTAAGTGTATTTTTCCATTAATAATATTTTAAATGTTAAATTTATATTAGCAGTGTCTTCTATAATGAACGTATGTATGTATTATGTATTTTTCTTTATTTATAAATAAATTATTTATAATATTTTGTTTGTAAATACGTCAAGAAAAGGTTCTACAATGTTGCTATTTTTTGCAAAATGTTGCATCACATAATGAATTTGCAAATATTTTGCATTTGTTTTAACATTTTTTTTTTGTTAGGAACCTATTTCTATTCTTGATTAGCCAGGTTTGTAGTCTTGACTATAAATCATTCTATAGTCTTGACTAAAGATCAGTCTATGGTTTTGACTATGAATAAGTCTATAGTCTTGACTATAGATTGGTTTATAGTCTTGAATACAGACTATGGATCAATCTATAGTCTTACCTATAGATCAGTCTTTGGTATTGACTATAGATCAGTTTATAGTCTTGACTATAGACTATGATCTTAACTACAAGTCAGTCTATACTCTTAACCGTAGATCAGTCTATAATCTTAACTATATATCAGTTTAAGTCTTAGGTATAGATCTGTCTATAGTCTTGACTATAGTTCATTCTATAGTCTTGACAATAGATCAGTCTATAATCTTAACTATAGATCAGTCTGTAGTCTTGACTATAAATCAGTCTATAGTCTTGACTATAGATCAGTCTATAGTCTTGACTATAGATCAGTCTATAGTTTGAACTATGGATCAGTCCACAGTCTTGACTATAGTTTAGTCTATAGTATTGACTATAGATTAGTCTATAGTCTATTGATTAATAGATTAATCTACAGTCTTAACTTAAATCAGTTTATACTCTTGACTATAGTTCAGTCTATAGTCTTGACTATAGTTCAGTCTATAGTCTTGACTATAGATCAGTCTATAGTCTTGACTACAGTTCAGTCTATAATGTTTACTATAGATCAGTCTATAGCAGTTTTGACTATAGTTTGAACTATAGATCAGTCTATCGGTCTATAGTCCTGAATATAGATCAGTCTATAGTCTTGACTATTGACCAGTCTATAGTCTTGAATATAGATCAGCCTATAGTGTTGAATGTAGTTCAGTCTATAGTGTTGAATGTAGTTCAGTCTATAGTCTTGACTATAGTTCAGTCTATAGTATTGACTATAGATTAGTCTATAGTCTTTTGATTAATAATCAATGATTAAAGCTGAATCTACAGTCTTAACTATAGATCAGTTTATAGTCTTGACTATAGTTCAGTCTATAGTCTTGACTATAGTTCAGTCTATAATCTTGACTATAGATCAGTCTATAGTGTTGACTACAGTTCAGTCTATAATATTTACTATAGATCGGTCTATAGTAGTTTTGACTATAATTTTGACTACAGATCAGTCTATAGTTTGAACTATACATCAGTCTATAGTTTGAACTATAGATCTTGACTATAGATCAGTCTTTAGTCTAGACTATAGATCAGTTTATAGTCTTGACTATAGTTCAGTCTATAGTCTTGACTATATTTCAGTCTATAATCTTGACTATAGATCAGTCTATAGTGTTGACAGTAGTTCTGTCTATAGTCTTGACCATAGATCAGTCTATTATCTTAACTATAGATCAGTCTATAGTCTCGACTATAGATCAGTCTATAGTCCTGACTATAGATCAGTCTATAGTCTGGACTATCAGTCTATAGTCTTGACTATAGATCAGTCTATAGTCGTGACTATAGATCTGTCTATAGTCTTGACTATAGATCAGTCTATAGTCTTGACTATAGATCAGTCTATAGTCGTGACTATAGATCAGTCTGCAGTCTTGACTGTAGATCAGCCTATAGTAGATTAGGCTAAAGTCTGAACAATAGATTACGTTATAGTCTTGACTATTGATCAATCAATAGTCTTAACTATATATCAGTCTATGGTCTTGAACACATCAGTTTTTAGTCTTGACTATTGATCAATCAATAGTCTTAACTATATATCAGTCTATGGTCTTGAACACATCAGTTTTTAGTCTTGACTATAGATCAGTCTATAGTTTTTACAATTCATCAGTCCATAATCTTGACTATAGATTAGTCCAGAGACTTTATTGCAGAGCAGTATTTAGTCTTGACTAATTAGCCATCTATATTCTTACCGCTGCAGGAGTAATCAGTTACAAAACTAGTTAGTTATCAAAAATAGATGAAATGATGACTAAAATTTCACTATTAAAACTCAACGATTTTAGTTATTACAATAGGTCCTTATATTATAATATATAATATTAATCATATATTTCATTTCTCTCTCTCTCTCTCTCTCTTCCACACAGTTTCTACAAAAGCCATCAACAGTTGAAAATATTCGAGTTGAAATCTACACTTGGTTTACATGAAAGCATCCTGTAAAGATCATCGTCATCATCAACGTTAGACAAATACAGACAGCGACTTTGTCAGTTAAGTCTAAATTTGTTCAAGGCTATTAAAGAAAGCCGGGAAAGAAGGACAAGAAGGACCAGTCTCTAAATTTCTCCCTTAAACACCCTTTATACAAAAAACTATGCTCAATTTTTTTTAAATTCTAAAAAAATATCCGAACGTCTTTAAAAGACTCTAAAAAGAGAAAAGAAAAATATAGGGAATTTTATTAAAGAGAAAGAAAAAGAGATAAGAGTCTAAAGACTTAAAAACAAAGTGAAGAAAACGACTCAAGTCGTAAGGAAATTATTCTACAAATCAGGATTCTAAAACGAGAAAAGCAAAAAAGGAATCTAGTACAATAAACAACAAAACTTATACAAATCTTTGCTGAAAAATATTGTGTTCAATTAGAAAAAATATAACTAAATAGAAAACCAAAATCAATAAATTAAATAAAATTTATATTAAAAAAAAAAAACAACTCCCTTTGGAAAACAAACCTCGTTTTTGCAAAAAAAAAAAAAAGAACCCACCTTTTATAACGCCCCCTCCCTATCACGTCCAAAGCCGTTTAAACTGCAATTAATTCAAAAATGATTTCTAAATCAAATAACAATACTAGTATTAGTAGTCAAAAACAAAATGGCAGCATTTATCAACCCCTCACCACGCCGCTCAGCGATAGTAAAACAGAACTTTCGCCAGCGGTCGTGGCTTCGGTTAAAACCACACCCCTTAATAAATCCATCAAACATGATCTGTTTCCGGAAGTAACATTTTGTAATCTATCTTCCGAAGATTTGCAAGAGCATGAAGAGAACGCACGCATGCTTAAGAACAGCATTATCACCATAAATGCAGCCGACAATACAGCCATGACTTCGCTAGCCAATGGCACCGGCAATGGTAATGGCAATGCAAAGAAGAGAACACGTTTGATATCGAATGATTCGGGCGACTCAATAGACTCGGGCTCAACGGAGAAAAAGAAACCGGAAATGCCGGATGGCGGTTATGGTTGGGTAGTAGTATTTGCCTCTTTGGTTGTCTCCCTCATAGCAGATGGTCTGTCATTTTCATTTGGTCTGATTAACACCGAATTGCTGGACTATTTTGGTGAGAGCCCTTCGAAGACCGCTTGGATTTCATCACTATTTTTCTCAGTGCCTTTACTAATGGGTCCTATTTGGTCGAATCTGGTGGATAAGTATGGCTGCCGCAAAATGACCATAATAGGTGGTGTAGTATCAGCCATTGGCTTTGGCTTATCCTCGGTGGTTAATTCCGTGGAAATGTTAATGGTTACCTTTGGCATAATTTCGGGTTTGGGCCTGGGTATAGGCTATGTCACTGCCGTTGTATCCATAGCTTTTTGGTTTGACAAGAAAAGAACTTTTGCCACCGGCATAGGTGCTTCTGGAACAGGTATAGGTACCTTTTTATATGCCCCCCTAACACAATGGCTGATCGATACGTATGGCTGGAGAGGTGCTACTTTAATCTTGGCCGGTACCATGCTAAATGCCTGTGTTTGTGGTGCTTTAATGCGTGATCCCGATTGGTTGATTGAAGAAAATCGTTTGGAAAGTAGATCACAAAGTGTTACTACATTTTCGAATTCGAGTGTATGCTTGGAGGAAATCAAGAAACTGTTGGATACGGGAGCCACTAAGGAATATGTGTTGGATACTTTGGTAACGAAAAACAATACCGAAGCTAACCAGCAAATAGAAGATCTTAATGAAACCCACATGAAAAGATATCGCAGTGAACTGTTTCTGCCGACATTTTTGAGTTCTCAAGAATTAGAGGAACTTTACGAAGTTAAGAGTACGAGTAGAAGATCTTTAAGACTGAAAGAAGGTGTTGAAGCACCCTCAAGAGAAAACTTACTATCAATGTCCTCGGCCGGTAATCCGTATGCAACAGCTGCCATTATCGGTTCACCCGATGACACCATGATGGGTGGCATACCCAGCGAGGTGGCCGAAACAGCCAAGAAAAACTTTTTAGCCTCCATAGAGACTTTATCGCCTTCTGAGAAACGTTCATCGGGCAATCGTACGCCCTTGAATACCTCCCTTATCTCACTGCGCTCCTCCACCGATGAGGGTTATTTAACACAAAAATATACCCGCGAACACAATAATCATACAGACAATTGTGCCAACTCACGTTACTCGCTCAACGAGAACATATTTTTTGCGGCCAAAAAGGACTTAAGGCCCAATGGTCATCGTCACAATTCCGTTGATGTTCTCAATCCCGTAGTTCACTCGTATTTTACCGCCATTAAGGATAATGGTTTAGCTTTAATAGAATCCAATCTTAAGAAACACAATGAAATTGTCAACAGTACTAGTGCGAGTAGAAATGGTGGTCCGGCTGTCATAACGATACCCGAAGATGAACCCTTAACGGGTCAACAGACAAAGGCGCCTATAAAGAGAACCCGTATCGATAGCATAACAGGCATGAGAAGACTTTCGAAATCGAAAAAGCCCAGTTATCGTTCAAATCTAAGGCGCAACATATCGATACGCAATTCAAATTTCCTTAAGGATATGAGAATACATCGTAATTCTATGCATTATCGTGGTGCTATGTTGAGTACACATCGTTATCGTTTGAGAGCTTCATCGTGTCCTAATATCTATAGGAATTCAATGACGACAATTGCTAAGGAAGATGAAGATGTGAGTATGATTAATTGTTATGTATGAAATCCATTTAATTTTTATATATTTGAAATCGAAATTAGTTAAAGATATATTAGCTTGATTCACGAAAATTTGCTGAATACTTAAGATCCTTGTGAAGAATCTAGTCATTATAATTCTGGGCAGAGAAAAGAGACCGAAATTTTTCTGAATGCTTAAGATCCTTGTGAAGTATTTAGTACGATGACAGTATGAGCACGATTGAGTACTAGTTTTTTCCTCTTTAGTTGTTTTCTTCATGGCAGATGATCTGTCGCTTTCATTTGGTTCGATTTACACTATTTTGGAAAGATTCCCAAGAAAATTGCTTTGACACTCTGTGTCTTTACTAAAAGGTTCTATATGATCTAGTCTTTTGAAAAGTTCACGATTTCTCAATTGTCTGGAAGCTTAATATCGTTGTTAAGGTAATAGTTGTAATAATACTCAATGGATATATCGAAACTGAAAATGCCAGATGGCAGTTATGGTTGATTGGAGGCATTTGCTTCTTTGGTTGTCTCCCTCATAGAAGATGGAATCTTTTAGTGGGTTACCCCCGAAGATCGCTTTGGTTCAAATGGTTTCAACTTGAGCTTATCTACTGGATAAGTATGGCTGCCATAAAAGGGCCTTAGTGTAAGCCATTGGCATCGGCTTGATCAACTTTTCAATAATTTCGGACTTGGTTGAGAGATTCTACAGCTTAGTCAGTCTTCGATCAATGTATAATTAAAATTATAAATTCTTTAAATTAATCCCAGCTTTTAGTCATGTAGTTTTCTTGACACATTCTACCTCGACTTGCAAAACGATTGTGGGATCTATCAACATAAAATCCGAAGAAATTCACCTAAGCCACGATCGGTCCTGTTGCGCTCCTTTTCATAAAAAAATTTTGTTGGTAAAAACAAAAACCGATGTTCAGAAACTCAGTTTCCTAGACGTAATTCCTAAGAATTTTCCCATCAGTGTCCATGAGGGAATTTATATGTCCGAAATAGTATCACTCCCAAGATATTTGGATCTAATTTCGCTCTGAATCCGCATGCCCAATTTACTACAGCTGTGGCCGTAATCATGTGTGTCCACTCAGAATACGTAACATCTTACTAACCTCAGGCTTGAGAAGGCTTCTCGTCTGCTCTCGTTAGGGCCACGCCATAAGATCTTTTTGGTTCTACCCACCGTTTCATTATTACAAGAGGACTTATGGTTTTCTTTCATTTTCAGATATTGAGAGAGAATCCGATTTGTTTCATTGGAGTATCTTGGGATTGACTCAGTATGATTTCCTGAATCATTTCCTTCAACTTCCTCCTCTAAGCTCCGGTATTAGGTAGTTTCACCTCCTTCACCATTTGCTCTATTTCTTCCTTTGTGAGATTCGCTATGATGGTTTGTTATTATCATTTGAGGAATCAAAGTCGGAATTCACACCTATATTTAAAGGAGACTCAGGTAGCTTAGAGTTTTTCCCGAGTACATCGATCTCTTTCATCTATGTTTTTGCCAGTGACGCATTGTCCGCCACGGATAACATGATACCCACCTCCGTACTAGTATTTTGCTCAGGATTGCAGGATGAAGACGACACATGACTCGCGAGTATATCAAAAATACAAGAAACGAACGACGAAACTTTTACCTTTGGTGCTTTCCATTCCGGAATACACAGTTTCGCTGTCTGAATATAGGAAGTACTAAGCATCCTCAGTACAAAAAGATGACACTGTTACTGCCCAAATATGCGCCATTGTCAGAACTTTTAGCGTTACATTTTTTTACCAAACATTTTTTCATAGTTAGGTACCTATCTGGGAAGTAGGCTACCAGTAGTAGGTTTTCGTTTCAGAAACATTTTTATTGCCGACATCACTCTTAATGGAAATACGATTTCCATTATTTAGCCAAGACATCGTTCTTTACACACAAAGGACACAAAAAGGTCTCGCATGAACAGAGTAAACCCCAGAAAATGAACATAGCTTTATAGATAACACATCCGTACATCCAGCACCATTGAACCCATAACGAAACGCTTCCATTCGACGCATTAACTTGGGTTTGCGGCTAGGGTGAGGTCCGCACATCCCTGATTCTACATTTTATTTCATATCAACTTATTCTCAACATTTAGTTCCACAGTGATTTCTCTGAGGGATCCTGCAGTCTCAGCAACAGTACCGTACTTATTCCGAAATTATTTTTTATGTATGTATCTATTTTTGAATCAACATTCTCTTTCCACGATTTGGATTCCCACCTCCGACATCCCGAAGCAACTTCTCCAATAACCGCGATAAAATAAAGTCCGAAAATTTCTGGTCAGACCACAAGTCAAATGTTTCAACCAATTTATAGTACCGCCGGACTAAGGGCACTTATACCACCTCTATAACCCTGGATTTCAATATAACTCCAAAGTGAGGGCGGTTTGCCAAGTTAAAATGTCCCAGAGTGCATCATCCTAAAGACAGTCTAGATACTGAAAGAGCGTTTTTGTGTTGAAATGTGTTAGAAGTCTATCAAGGCTCAAAATACTTTAAATGTTCTGCAAAAGATAATGGTAGACCGTCCACTTAATATATTCGTCCAGGAACGATATCTAAATAGCACATTTTTCCCTTGAATGACCTCATAACTGACAGAGTTTCGACAAATTTGGGACACAGAGTATACATGTCTAAGAATACATTACAATTAAAGCCTTATCGACTGACGCTAGACTGTCTAGGTATATGTTAATTGTAAACGTCTAAAGATTTATTTATCGGATGTTTCATGTGGTCGTATCGATGACGTAAAAATCAGTTTGATAGAGACCAAGAACCTAAGGGCATCAGAGACAGTGCGATTACTGTTTTTTAAACGTCAATGTAGACTATAGTCTAGTCTATAGTCTAGTCTATAGTCTAGTCTATAGTCTAGTCTATAATCTAGTCTATAGTCTAGTCTATAGTCTAGTCTATAGTCTAGTCTATAGTCTAGTCTATAGTCTAGTCTATAGTCTAGTCTATAGTCTAGTCTATAGTCTAGTCTATAGTCTAGTCTATAGTCTAGTCTATAGTCTAGTCTATAGTCTAATCTATAGTCTAGTCTATAGTCTAGTCTATAGTCTAGTCTATAGTCTAGTCTATAGTCTAGTCTATAGTCTAGTCTATAGTCTAGTCTATAGTCTAGTCTATAGTCTAGTCTATAGTCTAGTCTGTAGTCTAGTCTATAGTCTAGTCTATAGTCTAGTCTATAGTCTAGTCTATAGTCTAGTCTATAGTCTAGTCTATAGTCTAGTCTATAGTCTAGTCTATAGTCTAATCTATAGTCTAGTCTATAGTCTAGTCTAGTCTAGTCTATAGTCTAGTCTATAGTCTAGTCTATAGTCTAGTCTATAGTCTAGTCTATAGTCTAGTCTATAGTCTAGTCTATAGTCTAGTCTATAGTCTAGTCTATAGTCTAGTCTATAGTCTAGTCTATAGTCTAGTCTATAGTCTAGTCTATAGTCTAGTCTATAGTCTAGTCTATAGTCTAGTCTATAGTCTAGTCTATAGTCTAGTCTATAGTCTAGTCTATAGTCTAGTCTATAGTCTAGTCTATAGTCTAGTCTATAGTCTAGTCTAGTCTAGTCTAGTCTAGTCTATAGTCTAGTCTATAGTCTAGTCTATAGTCTAGTCTATAGTCTAGTCTATAGTCTAGTCTATAGTCTAGTCTATAGTCTAGTCTATAGTCTAGTCTATAGTCTAGTCTATAGTCTAGTCTATAGTCTAGTCTATAGTCTAGTCTAGTCTAGTATAGTCTAGTCTATAGTCTAGTCTATAGTCTAGTCTATAGTCTAGTCTATAGTCTAGTCTATAGTCTAGTCTATAGTCTAGTCTATAGTCTAGTCTATAGTCTAGTCTATAGTCTAGTCTATAGTCTAGTCTATAGTCTAGTCTATAGTCTAAATAAATCATCTAAAGAACTAAAATCACTACAATTCAAGCTTTTCCAAGTGATTTTTTATTAAAGATCTTTCTTCTTTAAATTTCAATTCTCTTTATCTTAAATCTTAATCACACAACTTAATAGAATCATGTTAAATCAACAGACCATTGTTTCACTGTTCTACAATCTTTTCACTGTTCTACAATCTTTATTAATTCTTATTCATATAGAATTTTAGTAAATATTCTCTAATCAAATTAACTTACAACGACTAAATAGATTTAGGCCTAAATCGAATTATTTTTTTTGAGATAATAAAGACAAAGAAGATTTCACTATACGTAAGTAATGTTCAGACTAAATAAGTATGAGTATGATTACTACAATATCAAACACAACCAACGAAGATTATCTATATATATAAAATTCTAACGTTACTGACTGACTGACTGACTGACTGATTCACTGACTGATTCATCATCGCACAGCCTAAACGGTTGAAGCTAAAGAGCTGAAATTTGGACAGGAGGTTGGCCTCCCGCCAAATAGATCCACTAAGACGGGATTTTTGGAAATTCGAATGTTTAGGGGGTAAAAAAGGGTAAAAACGGGTAAATTCGGTAACCTTATATCTCCTAAACTAGAAAAGATACAAAAACAGATTAAAGCTTATCGCCGTTCATTTAAAAAATAAACGGACAGGTGTCTGGTACTTTTTTAAAATTCGGCCCCTTTAGGGAATAAACGGGTAAAAACTGTATTTTGGTACTTTTTTCGCACCCCATGTATCTTTTAAACCAGTGCACATTCAAAAAATATTTTTAACTCCTTCATAACTTAACGAAAAAATAAAAATATGAATTTAGTACTTTTTGGATATTCGGACGTTTAAGGGGTTAAAATTGTACCTATTTTTGGTACTTTTTTCATAAAACATTGTTTTTGGTTTATTAAATTATACATATGAATACATAATAACGGGCTCCCACTACGATGTTGCAACTTTTTGGAATAGAATTTTTATTTCGTTAATGGGGAGGAAAAAAGTACCAAAAGGGGTAAAAACGGGAAATTTGATTTTATTCAACCACAATGATCCAATTTAGATAAAATTTTTAAATTTAGAAACACTAAATATCCTAATGGGGTGTTATTTGGAACCCCGGTATCAAGTGATATTTTTTGGTACTTTTCATTCTCCAACTGGTCCTTTTTGAGTTTTCTATGATATTGAAATAGAAACATGAAATTAATAATAAAGGGACTTTTCGCTACTTTTTCGTTCTACACAGGTACTTTTTTGAGTTTTCTTTAAAATTAAACCTAGAAACATGAAATTAAGCATGTAGAGCTCGGAGTAAATGAGAATCTATAAAATGGGACTTTTTGGTACTTTTTCGTTCTTCAAAAGGTACTTTTTGAATTTTCTATAATATTGAACCTAGAAACATGAAATTAAACATGTAGAGACCGGAGTAAATGAGAATCTATAAAAGGGGACTTTTTGGTACTTTTTCGTCCTTCGACTGGTACTTTTTGAGTTTTTTATAAAATTTAACCTAGAAACATGAAATTAAGCATGCGGAGGCCTTAGTTAATGAGAATCTATAAAAGGGGACTTTTTGGTACTTTTCCGTCCTTCGACTGGTACTTTTTGAGTTTTCTATAAAATTTAACCTAGAAACATAAAATTAAGCATGTAGAGCCCTTAGTAAATGAGAATCTATAAAAGGGTACTATTTGGTACTTTTTCGTCTTTCGACTGGTACTTTTTGAGTTTTCTATAAAATTTAACCTAGAAACATGAAATTAAGCATGTAGAGCCCTTAGTAAATGAGAATCTATAAAAGGGGACTTTTTGGTACTTTTTCGTCCTTCGACTGGTACTTTTTGAGTTTTCTATAAAATTTAACCTCTCTATAAAATTTAACCTTAGTAAATGAGAATCTATAAAAGGGGACTTTTTGGGTACTTTTTCGTCTTTCGACTGATACTTTTTGAGTTTTCTATAAAATTTAACCTAGAAACATGAAATTAAGCATGTAGAGCCCGGAGTAAATGAGAATCTATAAAAGGGGACTTTTTGGAACTTTTTCGTCTTTCGACTGGTACTTTTTGAGTTTTCTATAAAATTTAACCTAGAAACATGAATTTAAGCATGTAGAGCCAAGAGTAAATGAGAATCTATAATAGGGACTTTTTGGTACTTTTTCGTCCTTCGACTGGTACTTTTTGAGTTTTCTATAAAATTTAACCTAGAAACATGAAATTAAGCATGTAGAGCCCAGAGTAAATGAGAATCTATAATAGGGGACTTTTTGGTACTTTTTTGTCCTTCGACTGGTACTTTTTGAGTTTTCTATAAAATTTAACCTAGAAACATGAAATTAAGCATGTAGAGCCATTAGTAAATGAGAATCTATAAAAGGGGACTTTTTGGTACTTTTTCGTCCTTCGACTGGTACTTTTTGAGTTTTCTATAAAATTTAACCTAGAAACATGAAATTAAGCATGTAGAGCCCTTAGTAAATGAGAATCTATAAAAGGGGACTTTTTGGTACTTTTTCGTCTTTCGACTGGTACTTTTTGAGTTTTCTATAACATTTAACTTAGAAACATGAAATTAAGCATGTAGAGCCCGGAGTAAATGAGAATCTATAAAAGGGGACTTTTTGGTACTTTTTCGTCCTTCGACTGGTACTTTTTGAGTTTTCTATAAAATTTAACCTAGAAACATGAAATTAAGCATGCGGAGGCCTTAGTTAATGAGAATCTATAAAAGGGGACTTTTTGGTACTTTTTCGTCCTTCGACTGGTACTTTTTGAGTTTTCTATAAAATTTAACCTAGAAACATAAAATTAAGCATGTAGAGCCCTTATTAAATGAGAATCTATAAAAGGGGACTATTTGGTACTTTTTCGTCTTTCGACTGGTACTTTTTGAGTTTTCTATAAAATTTAACCTAGAAACATGAAATTAAGCATGTAGAGCCCTTAGTAAATGAGAATCTATAAAAGGGGACTTTTTGGTACTTTTTCGTCTTTCGACTGGTATTTTTGAATTTTCTATAATATTGATCCTAGAAGCATGAAATTAAGCATCTAGAGCCTGGAGTAAATGAGAATCTATAAAAGGGGACTTTTTGGTACTTTTTCGTCCTTCGACTGGTACTTTTTGAGTTTTCTATTAAATTGAACCTAGAAACATGAAAATAAGCATTTAGAGTCCGTAGTAAATGAGAATCTATAAAAGGGGACTTTTTGGTACTTTTTCGTTCTTCAAAAGGTACTTTATGAATTTTCTATAATATTGAAAATAGAAACATGAAAGTATGCATGTAGAGCCTGGATTAAGTGAGAAACTATAAAAGGGGACTTTTTGGTACTTTTTTGTTCTTCAAAAGGTACTTTTTGAATTTTCTAAAATATTGAACCTAGAAACATGAAATTAAACATGTAGAGCCCGAATTAAGTGAGGACCTATAAAAGGGGACTTTTTGGTACTTTTTCGTTCTTCAAAAAGTACTTTTTGAATTTTCTATAATATTGATCCTAGAAGCATGAAATTAAGCATGTAGAGCCTGGAGTAAATGAGAATCTATAAAAGGGGACTTTTTGGTACTTTTTCGTTCTTCAAAAGGTACTTTTTGAATTTTCTATAATATTGATCCTAGAAGCATGAAATTAAGCATATAGAGCCTGGAGTAAATGAGAATCTACAAGAGGGGACTTTTTGGTACTTTTTCGTTCTTCAAAAGGTACTTTTTGAATTTTCTATAATATTGAACCTAGAAACATGAAATTAAGCAAGTACAGCCAAGATTAAGTGATAACCTATAAAAGGGGACTTTTCGGCACTTTTTCGTTCTTCAAAAGGTACTTTTTGAATTTTCTATAATATTGAACCTAGAAACATGAAATTAAGTACGTAAAGCCCGGAGTAAGTGAGAACATATAAAAGAGGACTTTTTGGTAATTTTTCGTTCTTCAAAAGGTACTTTTTGTGTTTTTTATAACATGAAATTAACCATGTGGAGCCCAGAGTTAATGAGAATCTATAAAAGGGGACCCTTTGGTAATTTTTCGTTCTTCAACTGGTACTTTTTTAATTTTCTATAATATTGAACTTAGGAACATGAAATTAAATAAAAGAGGTCTTTTGTTACCTTTTTGTACTTCATTGGTACTTTTTGAGTTTTCTAAAATATTGTATATATAAACATAAATATAAATAGGGGACTTTTTGATATTGCAGATATATATACATTTACAATAATATTTATTTTATTCCATTACGATGAGGGTAGCGAAGCACACTGGGTATAGCTAGTCTGTAATAAAATTAGTTGCTATGAGCAAAATTCTTATACATGTATATGGAAAGGCTTTGTAGAGCGATACATACAGACATACAAACATACTTAGATGTTACTTTTCTATACTTAAAGCGTGTGTTACGATGAAACGATGCGATGCGATTTATTTTTGATTAAAATTATGAACTTTAACCAGAGAAATATAAATTTTTCTTTAAAATTAAACAAATAGAATCTCTTATAAATCATATTTACTCTTATAAATTTTAATTTTAATTAATTTGTTGTTTTTTTATATATTTTCATTACAGACTTGGTATGACAATCTCATCGATACAATGAAATCTGTTTTTGATTTCTCCTTATTTAAGGATGTTAAATTTACTTTATTTAATTTATCAACATTATTCTTATTTATATGGTGAGTAAAAAAAAAATACATAACAAATACTTTACTTTTTTCTAAGAACTTAACTTAAATTTACCCTAAATAATAGTATTATCTTGAAAAGGATTTAAAGAAATATTTTCAAGTGTTCTTAACTTGTCATCATTCTTACAAATAAAAATAAGCTTATTTTTTGTCTCGTCTAGTCTTTATTTGGCAGATTTTCAAAATTGAAGATACAAAAATTAAACAAACTTTAAATATCGCTTTTGCGTTACGCTTTTAAGGCAAACATTTTCAATGTTTTTATTTTCGCCATTAATTTTAATTCTTTGATATTTAAGACGCCAAAATAACTCGTTATTGGTTTAATGCCAATAACGCAACACTTATATGGGTGACCTTTTAACCTAATTTTTAGATCTTTAGTTATGAAGAAATGTAGACTAGACTACTCTATAGTGTAGTATGGAAAATACTATGTAGACTGAACTATAGACTAGACTATAGTCTAGACTATAGACTAGAATACAGTCTAGTATTAGACTATAGACTAGACTATAGACAAGACTACAGACTAGACTACAGACTAAACTATAGACTAGACTATACACTAGACTATAGACTAGACTATAGACTAGACTATAGACTAGACTATAGACTAGACTATAGACTAGACTATAGACTAGACTATAGACTAGACTATAGACTAGACTATAGACTATAGACTGAATAGACTAGGCTATAGACTAGACTATAGACTAGACTATAGACTAGACTATAGACTAGACTATAGACTAGACTATAGACTAGACTATAGACTAGACTATAGACTAGACTATAGACTAGACTATAGACTAGACTATAGACTAGACTATAGACTAGACTATAGACTAGACTATAGACTAGACTATAGACTAGACTATAGACTAGACTATAGACTAGACTATAGACTAGACTATAGACTAGACTATAGACTAGACTATAGACTAGACTATAGACTAGACTATAGACTAGACTATAGACTAGACTATAGACTAGACTATAGACTAGACTATAGACTAGACTATAGACTAGACTATAGACTAGACTATAGACTAGACTATAGACTAGATTATAGACTAGACTTATAGACTAGGACTATAGACTAGACTATAGACTAGACTATAGACTAGACTATAGACTAGACTATAGACTAGACTATAGACTAGACTATAGACTAGACTATAGACTAGACTATAGACTAGACTATAGACTAGACTATAGACTAGACTATAGACTAGACTATAGACTAGACTATAGACTAGGCTATAGACTAGACTATAGACTAGACTATAGACTAGACTATAGACTAGACTATAGACTAGACATAGACTAGACTATAGACTAGACTATAGACTAGACTATAGACTAGACTATAGACTAGACTATAGACTAGACTATAGACTAGACTATAGACTAGACTATAGACTAGACTATAGACTAGACTATAGACTAGACTATAGACTAGACTATAGACTAGACTATAGACTAGACTATAGACTAGACTATAGACTAGACTATAGACTAGACTATAGACTAGACTATAGACTAGACTATAGACTAGACTATAGACTAGACTATAGACTAGACTATAGACTAGACTATAGACTAGACTATAGACTAGACTATAGACTAGACTATAGACTAGACTATAGACTAGACTATAGACTAGACTATAGACTAGACTATAGACTAGACTATAGACTAGACTATAGACTAGACTATAGACTAGACTATAGACTAGACTATAGACTAGACTATAGACTAGACTATAGACTAGACTATAGACTAGACTATAGACTAGACTATAGACTAGACTATAGACTAGACTATAGACTAGACTATAGACTAGACTATAGACTAGACTATAGACTAGACTATAGACTAGACTATAGACTAGACTATAGACTAGACTATAGACTAGACTATAGACTAGACTATAGACTAGACTATAGACTAGACTATAGACTAGACTATAGACTGGACTATAGACTAACTATAGACTAGACTATAGACTAGATTATAGACTAGATTATAGACTAGATATAGACTAGACTATAGACTACACTATAGACTAGATTATAAACTAGACTATAGACTACATTATAGACTAGACTATAGACTAGATTAAACACTTTTCTATATAAACTGTCCAGACAAGATACTTTTCCATCGAAAATTGTCCTGACAAGGCACTTTTCCATCGAAAACTGTCCAAAGAAAACACAAGCAACTTTTCTTAGAAAACTGTCCACAAAAGACACTTTTCTATGGAAAATTTTCCAATCAAGACACGTATATATAGAAAGCTGTCCAAACAAGACAAGACTTTTCTATAGAAAACTATTCAAACAAGACGCTTTTCAATAGTAAACTGTCCAAACAAAACACTTTCCTATAGAAAAGTGTCCAAACAAATCACTTTTCAATAGAAAACTATCCAAACAAGTCACTTTTCTATAGAAAACTGTCCAAACCAGACACTTTTCAATAGAAAACTGTACAAACAAGGCACTTTTCTATAGGAAACTGTCACACTGTTCTTATAAAACTTTTCTATAGAAAATCGTCCAACCAAGACACGTGTTTATAGAAAACTGTCCATAAATGACACGTTTCTATAGAAAACGGTCCAAAGAAGACCCTTTCCTCTAGAAAGCTGTTGAGACTTGACACTTTTTTATAGAAAACGCTCCAAACAAGACACTTTTCTATAGAAAACTGTCCAAACAAAACACTTTTCTATAGAAAACTGTCCAAACAACACATTTTTTATAAGAAACAGTTCAAACAACACACTTTTGTGTAGAAATGTGTCCAAACATGAAACTTTTCTATAGAAAACTGTCCAAATAAGACACATTTCTATAGTAAACTGTCCATACAAGACACTTTTCTATAAAAAACTGCCCAATAAGGACACTTTTCTATAGAAAACTGTCCAAACAAGACACTTTTGTATAAAAACGTCCAAACAACACACTTTGTAGACTAGACCATAGACTAGACTATAGACTATTTGATTGGTTCATAAAAAAAGTAGTACAGACTAATCTGTGATTAAGGAGTTCCAAGACAAAAACCGATTTCCTTAAATAGCTGCTCAATATGAAAGGAATTTTTACCCCTTCTTGGGTACTTGTACTACGAAATTTAAGAGATTTTACATTGCTCTCGCAAATCCTAGTTATAACTAATTATTTTATTCATTATTTAATTTATTAAAAAAAAAAAACTATTGTTTCTTTGCAGGTTCATAATTCCATATCTGTATTTACCCGAATATCTAAAAATGCATGATTACGATACTTCGGCTAGTGCTCAATTGATTTCGGCTATTGGTATTGCTCAAACTATTGGCATGATTGGTTTGGGTTATTTGGGTGATCGTTCATGGATGAATGTAAATGTTTGCTATTCAGGATGTATGTTAAGTAAGTATTTAAAACAAATACTAATTTAGATCCCCTATTAATGTCTGATACCTTATTATCGTTTTAACAGTTTGTGGCCTTTCGGTAGTGTTAATGCCATTGCTGGTATCCAGCTATAATGGTCTTTTAGCTTTGTGTATAATATTTGGTTTCACCTTTGCCAGTTCATTTTCATTTACACCAAGTATCTTGGTTAGTATAGTGGACTTGGATGATTTCACCTGTGCCTATGGTCTGGTACTATTAGTGCAAGGTGTCGGTATGATAGCCGGTCCTCCCATAGCTGGTGCTATATATGAAGCTACGTTAAGGTAAATTTTTTTTATTATTTTTTCTTTTCTTTGTTAATTAAATTATTTAATAATAATTTTACTTTCGTTTGCAGATGGGATAATGCTTTTTATTTTGCTGGTGCTTTCATCTGTTTATCAGGTATTGCTGCCTATCTGATAGAATTCTGTGAGAAGAAACCTAAAGAAAGTGATAGTGATGTTTCCGTAATTAAAAAAGTACATTAAGTTTCTAAATAATAGAAGTTATGTAGCAAAACAAAAAATACACTAAATTATCTAATTAAAACAAAAACAAAAAACAAACAAAAACAAATCATTATAGTAAATAGTTAAACTAAATTAAAAAACAAATTAGAAAACATAACAAGAACCAAAACAATGTCGATTAAACAAATTACCATTAGTTTTAAACAATTTGTTTAGTATATAATTCTAAAAAAAATATATTTAAAAATATTAAAACAAAAAAAGTTAAATAGTTCTTAGTTTGTTAATTATATTTAAACTTAATTAAAAATTAAACAAAACCCTTACACACTTTAAATACCTACTATGCTCCTATTTATTTGTAATTTTAAAAATTTTGTAAATACAAAATTTTTGTCCTTTAAGAAAAATTCTACTAGTTTTTGTTTATCGAAAAACAAATGAAAAAAAAAATGCAATTTTGAGTGATTTTAATTATTTTTTTGTTCTGCATTCGTTTTTTAATTTTATTAAAAATTATACAGAAATATATATATTTTTTTGTCTTTTTTATATATGAAAATCGTATAATTACCTATTTTTTATTCAGAGCGCCTAACGCTTTTTTTGATTTGATATATTTTTATCTATATATCCGCTATTCTAGTCTTTCTCAAGACTACGAGACCATTTTCTAATAATGTTCCGTCTGAACAATTTTCTATAGAAAAATATCTTGTTTGGATAGTTTTTTATAGAAACTTCCATAGAAAAGTGTCTTGTTTGGACAGTTTTCTATAGAAAAGTGTCTCGTTTGGACAGTTTTCTATAGAAAAGTGTCTTGTTTGGACAGTTTTCTATAGAAAAGTGTCTTGTTTGGACAATTTTCTATAGATAAGTGTCTTGTTTGGTCAGTTTTCTATAGATAAGTGTCTTGTTTGGTCAGTTGTCTATAGAAAAGTTTCTTGTCTGAACAAAGTGTCTTGATTGGACAGTTTTTTATAAGAAAGTGTCTTGTTTAGACGATTTTGTATAGAAAAAGATCTTGTTTGGACAGTTTTCCATAGAAAAGTGTCTTGTTTGGACAATTTTCTTTAGGTAAGTGTCTTGTTTGGTCAGTTGTCTATAGAAAAGTGAGTATTCAAACAGCTTTCTATAGCAGAGTGTCTTGTCTATAGAAAGTTTTATATTTGGTCAGTTTTCTATAGAAAAGTGTCTTGTTTGGACAGTTTTTTATAGAAAAGGGTCTTGTTTGGACCGTTTTCTATAGAAAATGTCGTGTTTGGACAGTTTTCTAAAAATGTCTTCTCTGGACAATTTTCTATAGAAAAGTGTCTTGTCTGGACAGTTCTCTATAGAAAAGTGTTTTGTTTGAACAGTTTTCTATAAAAAAGTGTCTTGTTTGCATATTTTTCTATAGAAAAGTGTCTTGTTTGCATAGTTTTCTATAGAAAACTGTCTTGTTTGGATAGTTTTCTATAGAAAAGTGTTTTGTTTGGATAGTTTACTATAGAAAAGTGTCTGGTTTGGGTAGTTTCTATAGAAAAGTGTCTGGTTTAGACTGTCTTCTATAGAAGTGTCTTGTTTGAACTGTTTTCTATAGACAAGACCCTTAAGTGGACAGTTCTCTGTAGAAAAGTTTCTTGTCTGATCAAAGTGTTTGTTTAAAACAGTTTTCTACAGATAAGTGTCTTGTTTGGACGGTTTTCTATAGAAAAATGTCTTGTTTGTACAGTTTCCTATAGAAAATTGTCTTGTTTGAACAGTTTTCTATAGATAAGTGTCTTGTTTGGTCAGTTGTGTATAGAAAAGTGTCTCGTTTAAACAGTTTTCTATAGAAGAGTGTCTTGTCTATAGAAAGTTTCATATCTGGACAGTTTTCTATAGAAAAGTGTCTTTTCTAGACAATTTTCTATAGGAAAGTGTCTTATCTGGACAGTTCTCTATAGAAAAGTGTCTTGTCTGGACAGTTTTCTATTGAAAAGTGTTTTGTTTGAACAGTTTTCTACAAAAAGTGTCTTTTTTGGATAGTTTTCTATAGAAAAGTGTCTGGTTTGAACAGTTTTCTATAGAAACTTGTCTGGTTTGAACTGTTTTCTATATGAAAGTGTCTTGTTTGAACTGTTTTCTATAGAAAAGTGTCTTGTTTGAACTGTTTTCTATAGAAAAGTGTCTTGTTTGAACTGTTTTCTATAGAAAAGTGTCTTGTCTGGACAGTTTTTTATAGAAAAGTGTCTTGTTTGGACAGGTTTCTATAGAAAAGAGTCTTGTTTGGACAGTTTTCTATTGGAAAGTGTTTTTTTTTGAACAGTTTTCTACAAAAAGTGTCTTTTTTGGATAGTTTTCTATAGAAAAGTGTCTGGTTTGAACAGTTTTCTATAGAAACTTGTCTGGTTTGAACTGTTTTCTATATGAAAGTGTCTTGTTTGAACTGTTTTCTATAGAAAAGTGTCTTGTTTGAAGTGTTTTCTATAGAAAAGTGTCTTGTTTGAACTGTTTTCTATAGAAAAGTGTCTTGTCTAGACAGTTTTTTATAGAAAAGTGTCTTGTTTGGACAGGTTTCTATAGAAAAGAGTCTTGTTTGGACAGGTTTCTATAGAAAAGTGTCTTGTTTGGACAGGTTTCCATAGAAAAGTTTGGACAGGTTTCTATAGTAAAGTGTCTTGTTTAAATAGTTTTATATAGAAGAGTGTCATGTTTGGACAGTTTTTTATAGAAAAGTGTGTTGTTTTTGACAGTCTTCTATATGAAAGTGTCTTGTTTGAACTGTTTTCTATAGAAAAGTGTCTTGTTTGAACAGTTTTCTATAGAAAAGTGTCTTGTTTGGATAGTTTTCTAAAGAAAAGTGTCTTGTTTGGACAGTTTTCTATAGAAAAGTGTCTTGTTTGAACTGTTTTCTATAGAAAAGTGTCTTGTTTGGATAGTTTTCTATAGAGAAGTGTCTGGTTTGGATAGTTTTCTATAGAATAGTGTCTTGTTTGAACAGTTTTCTATATAAGAGTGTCTTGTTTGAACAGTTTTCTATAGAAACGTGTCTTGTTTGGACAGTTTTCTATATAAATGTGTCTTGTTTGGAGAGTTTTCTATAGAAAAGAGTCTGGTTTGGAAAAGTGTCTGGTTTTAAATCATATCTTACTGAATACTTAAAATGTTAAACTCAAATCCGAGGCGCAATGAATCACCGCTGTAAATGAAACCAAACATCAAATAGAAGAAATCAATTAAATCTATAGGTTGTTTAAAATCAGGATTATGAAATCTTTTATCAGAATTAATAAAAAATATAAACAATATTTTTTCTAATAGAAAAACATTTAAAGGTTTAACAAAGAAAGACAACAGCAATCCTTCCACAAGTAGATCACTTTTTGGAAAGAAACATGTTGCTTATTAAAGTGATTGCTTTCATTTTCAAAGGAGTTACTCTTTAAATAGATTCGAAAGCTGAAATTTTCTAATTTGTAAGTTAAATACATTTGATATCGAAATATTTTTCATTCGAATCGAAATACAGAGTAATCGCCCAGCAGAAGAAAGTAAACGAGTTTCAGAATACAATTTCGAAATTTTCGTAATTTATAAAATTTATAAATGTTTTTCAATTAGAAATGTAAACATTGAACAATTTCCATCTTAAAAAGTAATATAATATTTAATTACAGATTTTTATTTTTAATAAAAACATAAACTTTTATAAAAAAAATTATAAATTTTCTTTAATAAACACAAAATAATAAAAAATAAAAAGACATTTTGTAATTATATATAATAAAAATAAACAATTAAAACTAATAGCTAAATAAATTATTAAAAATACTGTAAAGAAACAAAAACAAATTAATAAAATTAATTTATTGTCAATTTTTAAACAGTAATTTTGTAAAACAGATAAAAAAAAATTCCCAAAACTTTAAATGAAAATTAGTTGAATAAAATGTTTAAATAAAATTCAACTTCTTTTCTTTTAAACAGGGGGAACAAAATTTCCTTTCTTTACTATTTAATTAAAAAATAATATTAAAATAACTGTATACATGTTAAACAAAAACTTAAAAAGTTAAATAAAATTATTTAAAACAAAGTATTATTAAATTTAATAAACTTTAAACAAATCCTTTTGAATTTTTTCCTTAATTTTTTTTCCACTACAATATATTAATATTCTTTTTATAATAAATAACCTTAAAATACTTACAAAAAAAAACTCTGCATTACAATCTTTGGTCACTTACTGTATCTAAACAATTTTATATATAAATAAAAATAATTAAAACAATCCCAGCATAAACAAACGTTCTTTTTTTTGTATAATAAACTTATTTAATTAGTTATTTAGTAAATAAATATGTATAACTATTTCTAAATGGATTTTTTTCTAAATTATTAAAATCTTATTATTTCCTATAATTATTTTAAGTATTGTTTAAAGCAAAAAAAAAAAAACTACACAAAAGAAATTTAATATTAAATAAAATTAATTAGATTTTAAGTTTAGTTTTTTGTTGTTTCAATTATATAAAAATTAACTCTTAATTTTAAACCTGAAATAAAAAATGCTTAAAAAATAAATTTAAAAACTTGTTTTATTGTTTAGAAATAATTAAATTTAAGGATTTTGGTGGATAAATTGCAAGAAATCTAACTAAGAAAGTAAAGACAGACATAAGTGTATTGTTTAAGTGCTTTATAGTCTGTACGGAAGCTTAATATGGGAGCTAAAATCAATTGCCCAGCAATCATCAAAAACTTGGAATATAACTGACTCGATGTATTATCGCTAAATTACATATGTAGCAGTGAGTCTCATGGCTTAACGTGTTTACTAATGATCAAAATTGCCGATATGAAGTAAGACCAATTCATAACAACCCCAGATACTCCATTACCTCTTCAAATTGTCACCATTGTCTTCGAACCTTATTTCTTTAAAAATTAAGCAATGATTTTTATTGAAGGTGTGGATGGAGTTAGGATAACGTTACAGCCATACGGCGATCGTTAGCATCGATTTATGGAATGGCATTTAGTTAGTTAGTTAGTTAGTTAGTTAGTTAGTTAGTTAGTAGTTAGTTAGTTAGTTAGTTATTAGTTAGTTATTAGTTAGTTAGTTAGTTAGTTTTAGTTAGTTAGTTATTAGTTAGTTATTAGTTTAGTTTAGTTTTTAGTTAGTTCGTTAGTTAGTTCGTTCGTTCGTTCGTTCGTTCGTTTCTTCGTTCGTTCGTTAGTTCGTTCGTTTCGTTCGTTCGTTCGTTCGTTCGTTCGTTCGTTCGTTCGTTCGTTCGTTCGTTCGTTCGTTCGTTCGTTCGTTCGTTCGTTCGTTCGTTCGTTCGTTCGTTCGTTCGTTCGTTCGTTCGTTCGTTCGTTTCGTTCGTTTCGTTCGTTCGTTCGTTCGTTCGTTCGTTGTTCGTTCGTTCGTTCGTTCGTTCGTTCGTTCGTTCGTTCGTTCGTTCGTTCGTTCGTTCGTTCGTTCGTTCGTTCGTTCGTTCGTTCGTTCGTTCGTTCGTTCGTTCGTTCGTTCGTTTCGTTCGTTTCGTTAGTTCGTTCGTTCGTTCGTTCGTTCGTTCGTTCGTTCGTTCGTTCGTTCGTTCGTTCGTTCGTTCGGTTCGTTCGTTCGTTCGTCGTTCGTTCGTTCGTTCGTTCGTTCGTTCGTTTCGTTCGTTCGTTCGTTCGTTCGTTCGTTCGTTCGTTCGTTCGTTCGTTCGTTCGTTCGTTCCGTTCGTTCGTTCTTCGTTCGTTCGTTCGTTCGTTCGTTCGTTCGTTCGTTCGTTCGTTCGTTCGTTCGTTCGTTCGTTCGTTCGTTCGTTCGGTCGTTCGTTCGTTCGTTCGTTCGTTCGTTCGTTCGTTCGTTCGTTCGTTCGTTCGTTCGTTCGTTCGTTCGTTCGTTCGTTCGTTCGTTCGTTCGTTCGTTGTTCGTTCGTTCGTTCGTTCTTCGTTCGTTCGTTGCCGGCTCTCCTTTTCCCCTCCGTGTGGCGCCCCCCGCTTCCCCTCTTCCCTTTTTTTTTCCTTCCGCTTTCTTTCCCCCCCTTCCTCCTTGTCCCTCCCTTTCGGCTGCTTTTCCTTCTTCTCACAGATCTTTAACACACTTTGCCTACCAACTTTTGAAAAGTATTACTGATAAGTGATAATACACACATATGTATATTAGGGAGGTTTTGGTATGATTTTTTTTTTTACTTTATGAATTTTGGGGACTACGACAACTTAAGCTCTGGAAATTTTCTGGATATCCCTACAATCGGAACATATATACGATACCAGCGGCTTCTTATAGACGAACGGCTACAAACGTGCCGGACTGCATAACGGGGAAAAAAGTCAGAAACTATGATTTACCGATCCCGGATAGAAGATCGTGGTCAAGGAAAAACCAAAAATAATAAATATACTACCGTCTTCCAAATTCCATTTTCCAGTCTATTTTATTGTTTAATCTAGAGTCTGTACTAATGTTTAGTCTGTAGTCTAATATAGTCTAAAGTATATTTCATAATCCAGTCTAAAGTCTGGTATACAGTCTATTCTATAGTATAGTCTAGCCTATAGTATAGTCTATAGTCTAGCCTATAGTCTAGCCTATAGTCTAGCCTATAGTCTAGTCTATAGTCTAGTCTATAGTCTAGTCTATGGTCTAGTCTATAGTCTAGTCTATAGTCTATTCTATAGTCTAGTCTATAGTCTAGTCTAGTCTAGTCTAGTCTAGTCTAGTCTAGTCTAGTCTAGTCTAGTCTAGTCTATAGTCTATAGTCTATAGTCTAGTCTAGTCTATAGTCTGGCCTATAGTCTGGTCTATATTCTAGTTTATACTCTAGTCTATAGTCTAGTCTAGTCTAGTCTAGTCTATAGTCTAGTCTAGTCTATAGTCTATAGTCTATAGTCTATAGTCTATATAGTCTATAGTCTATAGTCTAGTCTAGTCTAGTCTAGTCTAGTCTAGTCTAGTCTATAGTCTGGCCTATAGTCTGGTCTATATTCTAGTCTATACTCTAGTCTATAGTCTAGTCTAGTCTATAGTCTAGTCTAGTCTAGTCTATAGTCTGGTCTATAGTCTAGTCTATAGTCTAGTCTATAGTCTAGTCTATAGTCTAGTCTATAGTCTTGTCTATAGTCTAGTCCATATTCTAGTCTATAGTATAGTCTATATGAAATTGAAATTTCTAAGTTATATGTAACTACTTACAAAGTAAGCGATTAATATTACAACGACTTTATAATTTGTTAGACAACATAAAATACTATTTTCCAATTTGTAATTATTTATTCTTAATATTTATTTCTTAAACAATTTGTTTTGTCTTTTTTTTGGTAAAAAATAAACTTATTAACTAATTAAACTTAAATATTCAAACATATTAAACTTAGAAGAAGAAATAAAAAACACAATATTTATAAAATATTTAATATACAATTAAAAAAACAAATCATGTACGAATATTAAGTCTTTTTTTAGGGGGTGGAGTGGAAAATAGTAAATGCACGACCAAGAAAAGGGTGTTAGTAGACGACACACTAGTGCTGATTTATCTTTTGGCCATATTTACTCCAGAAAGTAACGGTACATTGTAAACGTTTACCGGTAGATTTCTCGAACATGGAACAAGTCTCGAAAGGAGGACAATATAAATGCAAAGAAACTGCAGTATCAGAATGGCTGGGGTTTTCAACACGATGTAGACCCAAGTTATCTAAATTATAAGTAAAATGGAATAATAATTTAAAAGGGTCTTAAGGAAAAAGGGGGATTATTTAATAACTTACCATTAATATAGGCCACATCATTAAGACCCATGGTTCTTTGACCCAACACCTGTAAAGCATCATGATTTTCAAATTCTTCGCCCTGTTGCTCAAGCTCTTGTTGTTGCTTTTCCGTTTCGGGCCAAGAGTAACGGGTCTCCATCAAATCTCCCTTAAGCATTTTCATAAAACAATGACTATCAGCATGATCGTGTATAGTCGAGCTGTGACCTTCACCCCAGCATAAAATCATTAAATTAAATTTACCATTACCAGCATCCACCAGATTTCTGGTGTATTTATAACGATCGAATTTGGCAAACTTTTGCCATTCTTTGGGATTTGATTTATAGGACAACATAATGTGATTGACCATTTCGATATTCACATAATTTGTGGAGAATTCCTTATGCAAAGCGGCAATCAAATCATTAAGAGTCTCTATGGTGGGACCATATTTTAAAGGTTTCTCTATGCCGCGAAAATGATGAGTACATTCGCGTAAATATTTCTCTTGATCCATTTCAGTATCGATTTTCGATAGGGCCATTTTGAAACTTTGATGAACCTGTTGGAATATTTAAAAGAAAATTGAAATAATTTATATTCAAGTGATCATCATTATTTGCGTAAGTGATTTTACTTTGACATTCTGAATTTATTTGTGAAAAATATTTGTTTGTTTTTTTATATTGATAAGATATTTCTTTAATTTGTTTTCATCGGGGTTCAAATTGACTGTATTTGTTGGTATTTGTTTCAATTAATAGGTATATACTTAAGTACATTTTGAAAACCATTTAAATAAGCAAAAGTTTATCAGCTAAAGAAAGTGTCACTCAAAAATGCTCTCTATCTCTATGACGAAAATCTAGCAAGATCGTATAATTTGGTGATTTATTTTTTCAAATCTTTGTTTTAAACACTAATTTATAGTCTAATCTTTAAGTTTGAATAGTTTTTAAGAATTGTATGCTTAGGATTTTTCATTTTGTTGATTATGAATTAGTATTAAGACACGTGTATAGTAATTTCAAGTTTATTTACAATTATCAGGAGAAAACGTGAAGATTTTACAAAGGGTCAAAGAACTTCTATTATAGAGTTTCTCAATCACTTTAAAAATATAAAGAAATCGGTGGATTTTGTAAAAATTTAGGTTAAGTTGAAAGTGGAATTATCGTTCTATGAATTAGATCCAAATATCTTGGGAGCTTTGTTATTTTACATAACGCTGATTGGAAAATTCTATGAACTGCGTCCAGGAAACTGAATTTCTAAAGATTGGACCATAAATCCTTTCTTAGCTAAATATAAACGAATTTTCCATCAAAATCTTTTGCCATGAAAAGGAGCTCATATTTGATTAATGAGTTCAGAAAATACTCTGAAATAATGTTTATCTCCTTAAAAAGGAAGAACTGCTCCTTCTTTAAAAGCTTCTTAATACAAGTTTATATGTATTACCACCATCAAAAAGGAGTACATACATATGTACTCTGGGATTTTGGAAATTTCAGAAACAATCTAGAAGTGGACGCTAGTATTTCTGTTAGAGCTGTTACAGAGTCAAGAGAAGTAAAGTTTCTAAACCAATACTGATATGATTAGAAACCTTAAACTTAACATTCGAAAGACAGTAGAATTTGCAAATTTCAGAGACAATCTAGAAGTGGACGGCCATATGTCTTTTAAAGCTGTTATAGAGTCAAGGCAAGGAAAGTTTCTAAACCAATACTGATATGATTAGAAACCGTAAACTTAACATTCCAAAGACAGTAGAATAGTAAAAAGACTAGTCCTTATAATAGACAACTGCTAAGTCAGACAGACAAGTCCATAGAGTGAAAATTCAATCAGTAAGCAAATCCATAGACTGGTCAATAGACTAGTCTTACCCATAGACCAGCACATAGACTTGTACATAGAATAGATTAGTTCATAGAGTAGTCAATGGACTAGCATAGATCATAAACTAGTTCATAGAATAGACCATAGACTAGTTAATAGACCAGTCAATAGATTATTAGTCAATAGACTACTAGACTAGTTAATGGAGTAGTCCAGTTAATAGAATAGTCCATAGAATAGTCAATAGACTAATCCACGGACTTGTTTATTGATTTGCCTATAGACTAGTCAATTGATTACTCCATAGGGTTATCCATAAACTAGTTCATAGACTAGTCAATAGACTAGTCAGTTGATTAGTCCATAAACTGTGGACATAAACTGTTCACAGACTTGCCAATATAGTTATAGACTAGTTAATGGAGTAGTCCAGTTAATAGAGTAGTCCATACACCAGTCAATAGATTAGTCCATAGAGTGGTCAATAGTCCAGTCCATTAACTAGTTCATCGACTAGTCCATAGACTGGTCCATAGAATAGTCAATAGACTAGTCCACAAACTAGTTCATAGATATGTTCATAGACTAGTACATAGACCAGTCAATAAACTTATCCATAGACTAGTCAGTAGACTAGTTTATAGAGTTGTCTTGTCCATAGACTTGATTATAGACTTGTCCATAGATTAGTTCATAGACTACTTAATTGACAAGTCCATAGACTGGTCCATAGAGTTTTCAATAGACTAGTCCACAAACTAGCTCATAGACTAGTTCTTTGACAAGTCCATAGATTAGTTTATAGACAAATCCATTTACTAGTCCATAGACTGCTCCATAAAGCAGTCAATAGACTAGTCCACAAACAAGTTCATAGACTAGTCTGTAGAATAGTCCATAGACTAGTTTATATAATAGTAAATCCATAAACTAGTCCGTAGACTAATCAATAGAGTGGTCAATATGTAGTCCATAGATTATTCAGTAGATTAGTCCTTACGGTAGACAATAGACTAGTCTATAAATTAGTTCATAGACTAGATCATATGTTACTTCTTGGACTAGTTCATTGAGAAGTGAATAGACTAAATAATAGACTAGTCAGCATACTCGCCCATAGACAAGTCAGTTGATTAGTCCATAAAGTAGTCAATAGACTAGTCTATAAACTAGTTAATAGACTACTCCATAGACTTGTCTATATACTTGATCATGGACTAGTCCATAGAGTAGTCAATAGACTAGTCCATAAACTAGTTCATAGACTAGTTCATAGAATAGTTCAGAGACTAGTTCATAGACTAGTTCATAGACTAGTTCATAGACTAGTCCATTGACGAGTCCATAGTCTACTTGTAGACTAGTTAATAGACAAGCCAATAGATTAGTCCATAGAGTTGTCCCCCAGACGTGTCCATAGACTAGTTTTGCCCATAGATTTGTCCATAGATTTGTTCATAGACTAGTTCATATTCTAGCCCATGGACTAGTCTTTATATTAGTCTAGTCTAGTCCATGTACTAGTTCAAAAGCTAGTCCATATACTAGTCTATAGAATAGTTAATAGACAAGTCAGTAGATTAGTCCATAGACTAGCCCATAGACAAATTTATAAACTAATTCCTGTATTAGTCCATAAACTGGTCTATAGATTAGTCCATAGACTAGTCCATAAACTATTCCATATACTAGTCAATAGAATAGTTCTTATATTAGTCAGCACAGCAAACTAGTTCAATACACTAATTCACAGAAAAGTGAAAATCACACCTGTTTGGCAAAAATGTCAAAATTTAACCCACTATAACTTAGAGAGTAATTGACCGATATTGTTAAAAAATTATGTCCAATAGAACTAACCTTGCTGCACCCCCATCAAAAGTTGGGTCTCTTGACATGAAATCCCCCTATTAAGGGGGGGATGAGAAAGGACAATTTTTGTTTAAAGTTGACCATTTTCTAAACTGTCTCCAGTCTATTATGTCTGGTCAATGACCTTTCCTACTAAGAATTTTATTATGTTAGATCAGTTCCTAAACAAACTATGTTCCTACTTCCGTTATTTGTTTTTAATATATTTCCCAACTTTTGTCTGGTTCCAATAACCTTTTAGTTTTCCTTTAAAAACTGCTGTAACTCGAGTTAATCTTTTTTTGAAACGTATTCTGTTATCAACATTAAATTAAACTGCGTATTTTATTGACTGATGTAAGCGGTACTTAAGGGTCTTTAATGTTGTGACGCTTAATACAAAAAAGTATTTTTAGAATCAGAGATTTAAGTGGAGCAGTTTTATTAAGGGCTACATTTATAAACTTAAGTTTGACATTTTTAATTCATTTGCTTTAGAGTCCATATATAAGAAAGCCTAATTTAAAGCCTTTCACTTAATATATAATATACACTTTTAGTTTTTAGTTATTTTCCACAAAAGTCCTTTATTGTTTTTTCACCCACTGTTTTCTTTATTTTTTATAAATTATTTTCCAAACTTATCTTTTGAAATAATCTTTCAAAGGTTAATGGAAGCTTGTTTTATTTATATTAATTGCTTTTTTTCCATTATTTATATTTTAATAAATAATTTCCTTAAGATCAATAAATTAACTCACTTTAAGAAAAAATTTTCAAAATTATTGATTTTATAAAAACGAAGTGATTAAATTCAGAATAGTTTTTTTTGTGCTATATGAGACAACAATAGATTAACACGGATCGCTCGGTTAATAACGTTATGTTCTAAACGAAGATTGAAACAATATTGATTTGAAAATCAGAGCTTAAACTAGGCTAAAGCTTTCTGTCTTAAGTCTAGAAATTGTTTTTACTTTTTTTCGTATTTCTTTTTTTTTTTAAATTCAGCAAAATATTAATTATTATATACTATTTTTAATAAATAAATAAATTGTTATTGTTTTTCTTAAAAGAAAACAATAAAAAGATTTGCAAAAACATTAATTAAAACATGATTTTAGCTTAAGAATTATCAGTAAAAACATAATAAATTTTATATGAAAATTTGTTGGCGTTTATTTTTTTTCGGAACTAATCTAATTTCTTTTGGAACTATTAAAAGTCACATATAGTTTTCATCTATATAAAATCAACTACGTTGGTATTTAATTTAACAAATTTCTTATTTTTTTCCAAATTTTCAAAATATTTTTGTTTCTTTTAAAATTATATCAAATGACGTTATTTGTTCTATTTATGTTTTGAACCTTAATTTCTAATGTATAATTCTGAATTCTATAAAAAGTTCATAAACACACCCATTTTGTTTTGAAGTTCTACGTTATGGTTTTGAATTCTGAACTTTTTTTTTCGTTATCAATTTTCTTAAAAAAAAAAACACATTTGAATAGCATATTGAATCTTTTCTGTTCCATAGTATTGGTTAAAAATATTTCCTTTTAAAACAATGTTAAATATATATTTTTATTAATTGTTTTTTAAACTCAAAGTAGATTATCTGTATTTCTAACACGCGATAGATTTGAATTTGATTAATAAGTTTAATGAAATTATAATGAAATTTTCTATTTACACTTCTAATTTTAAGTCAGAGATCAATTTAAAATCATGTAAATGAAAAACGATTTGAAGCTAAAAATATGTTTTAATATATTTTTATGTTTTTCATTAAAAAACTTTCTACAGAATACTTCAGACTAGCATCCTAAGAACTTCTAATGTCGCCATTACTTCTAGATATTCCCTAAATAAAAAACTGTTATCTTGGACAGAGCATAAACCAGGCTAGGCCATAATGGAGACTAGACTATAGACTAGACTATAGACTAGACTATAGACTAGACCATAGACTAGACTATAGACTAGACTATAGACTAGACTATAGACTAGACTATAGACTAGACTATAGACTAGACTATAAACTAGACTATAGACTAGACTATAGACTAGACTATAGACTATTATATAAACTAGACTATAGACTAGACTATAAACTAGACTATAGATTAGACTATAGACTAGACTATAGACTAGACTATAGACTAGACTATAGACTAGACTATAGATTAGACTATAGACTAGACTATAGACTAGACTATAGACTAGACTATAGACTAGAATATAGACTAGACTATAGACTAGATTATAGACAAGACTATAAACTAGACTATAAATTAGACTAGGCTATAGACTAGATAATATAATTGGCTACACTATAGACTAGACTATAAGCTATAGGCTAGACTATAGACTAGACTACTGACTAAGCTAGACTATAGACTAGGCTAGACTATAGAACATTCTATAGACTAGACTAGACTATATGCTAGACTATTCTTTAGACTAGACTCTAGACTATATACCAGACTATAGACTAGACTATATACCACACTATAGACTAGACTAATGTCTAGACTATAGACTATTATATAAACTAGACTATAGACAAGACTATAGACTAGACTATAGACTAGACTATAGACTAGACTAGACTATAGACTAGACTAGACTATAGACTAGACTATAGACTAGACTATAGACTAGACTAGACTAGACTAGACTATAGACTAGACTATAGACTAGACTAGACTATAGACTAGACTATAGACTAGACTATAGACTAGACTATAGACTAGACTATAGACTAAACTATAGACTAGACTATAGACTAGACTATAGACTAGACTATAGACTAGACTATAGACTAGACTATAGACTAGACTATAGACTAGACTATAGACTAGACTATAGACTAGACTATAGACTAGACTATAGACTAGACTAGACTAGACTATAGACTAGACTATAGACTAGACTATAGACTAGACTATAGACTAGACTATAGACTAGACTATAGACTAGACTATAGACTAGACCATAGACTAGACTATAGACTAGACTATAGACTAGACTATAGACTTGACTATAGACTAGACTATAGACTAGACTATAGACTAGACTATAGACTAGACTATAGACTAGACTATAGACTAGACTATAGACTAGACTATAGACTAGACTATAGACTAGACTATAGACTAGACTATAGACTAGACTATAGACTAGACTATAGACTAGACTATAGACTAGACTATAGACTAGACTATAGACTAGACTATAGACTAGACTATAGACTAGACTATAGACTAGACTATAGACTAGACTATAGACTAGACTATAGACTAGACTATAGACTAGACTATAGACTAGACTATAGACTAGACTATAGACTAGACTATAGACTAGACTATAGACTAGACTATAGACTAGACTATAGACTATACGATAGACTAGACTATAGACTAGACTATAGACTAGACTATAGACTAGACTATAGACTAGACTATAGACTAGACTATAGACTAGACTATAGACTAGACTATAGACTAGACTATAGACTAGACTATAGACTAGACTATAGACTAGACTATAGACTAGACTATAGACTAGACTATAGACTAGACTATAGACTAGACTATAGACTAGACTATAGACTAGACTATAGACTAGACTATATAGACTATAGACTATAGACTATACTAGACTATAGACTAGACTATAGACTAGACTATAGACTAGACTATAGACTAGACTATAGACTAGACTATAGACTAGACTATACTAGACTATAGACTAGACTATAGACTAGACTATAGACTAGACTATAGACTAGACTATAGACTAGACTATAGACTAGACTATAGACTAGACTATAGACTAGACTATAGACTAGACTATAGACTAGACTATAGACTAGACTATAGACTAGACTATAGACTAGACTATAGACTAGACTATAGACTAGACTAGACTAGACTATAGACTAGACTATAGACTAGACTATAGACTAGACTATAGACTAGACTATAGACTAGACTATAGACTAGACTATAGACTAGACTATAGACTAGACTATAGACTAGACTATAGACTAGACTATAGACTAGACTATAGACTAGACTATACTAGACTATAGACTAGACTATACTAGACTATAGACTATATAGACTAGACTAGACTATAGACTAGACTATAGACTACTAGACTATAGACTAGACTATAGACTAGACTAGACTATAGACTAGACTATAGACTAGACTAGACTATAGAGACTAGACTATAGACTATAGACTAGACTATAGACTAGACTATAGACTAGACTATAGACTAGACTATAGACTAGACTATAGACTAGACTATAGACTAGACTATAGACTTGACTATAGACTAGACTATAGACTAGACTATAGACTAGACTATAGACTAGACTATAGACTAGACTATAGACTAGACTATAGACTAGACTATAGACTAGACTATAGACTAGACTATAGACTAGACTATAGACTAGACTATAGACTAGACTATAGACTAGACTATAGACTAGACTATAGACTAGACTATAGACTAGACTATAGACTAGACTATAGACTAGACTATAGACTAGACTATAGACTAGACTATAGACTAGACTATAGACTAGACTATAGACTAGACTATAGACTAGACTATAGACTAGACTATAGACTAGACTATAGACTAGACTATAGACTAGACTATAGACTAGACTATAGACTAGACTATAGACTAGACTATAGACTAGACTATAGACTAGACTATAGACTAGACTATAGACTAGACTATAGACTAGACTATAGACTAGACTATAGACTAGACTATAGACTAGACTATAGACTAGACTATAGACTAGACTATAGACTAGACTATAGACTAGACTATAGACTAGACTATAGACTAGACTATAGACTAGACTATAGACTAGACTATAGACTAGACTATAGACTAGACTATAGACTAGACTATAGACTAGACTATAGACTAGACTAGACTAGACTATAGACTAGACTATATAACTAGACTCTGGATTTTATCATAAACTAGACTACACACCATACAATAAACTAGACTATCTACTAGACTAAAGGTTAGACTACAGATTAGACTATAAACTACACTAGACAACAGTTCCGTATACTTTCAAAATAATTTTAATATTTTGAAATTGTCCATTCTTTGTTGTGCACACACTTTTAAATGCATTTAATATTTATTAATTATTTTGTTTTTACTTTTATTTTTATATATATGTATATTTTTTAATATTTGTTGTTTTTTATATATCACCAAAATTATATACATATGAACATTTAAATTTTCCATAATACACGTAAAGGGTATCAAAAAAATTGACACCTAGAAATAATAATAAAAAATTGATAAAAGCCAGTTCAAATACAGGGAAAAATTAAAGAATATTTCTATTATAATCTTGAGTAGAATGTTCCCACGTGTATATTTATTAAAACCTTTAACCGTCAAAACAATTCTAAATAAAAGGTCGAATAGTATTGAAATATTATAAACTACTCAAGTGAATGTTAGATCCGTTTATGATTGCATAACTATATGTCAACCGAAATGGTAATATTAGGTAAACAAATATTTACTATAAATATATCCTCAAGGATCCATCTTGTTTCTATATTACTTGTGACTCGTAAAGTGATTTAAGGGAACTTATGACCCATTTGTATTACTATGTATAATTTTATGAACTGATTCAGATTTAATTCAAATCACATATTATTTGGGAATTAAAACCTTTCTGTACACAAGAGAGCTTATTCACTTCTATTAAGGAAAAGCGAACTTGATGAAGTTAACCTGAGAAATGCAAAACCTTTCGAGGCGACAAAAGCGAATTTAGAGCCATTAGCGAGGAAAGTAGAACACATTCTCTACCATTGCCAAGCCTTTGCCGAAATTAGATCGAACCGCTTTGAGAAAGATGT